AACAATGAAAAATACATAAAGAAGCAGAAAAACTATGAAAAAGAAGTAAAAGAAGCAGAAAAAAATACAAAAAAAGATAAGAGGAATAAGCAGCAAAACAACCTAAAATGAATGAAGAGCCAGCAAAACAATGACAAATAAGTAAAAGATGCATAAAAAAACCCAAAATAAGTGAAAAAGCAGAAAAGAATTAAAAATAAGTGGGAAAAGCTAAAAAACAATGAAAAAGAAGTAAAAGAAACAGCAAAACAATTTAAAAAAATGGAAAAAGCAGAAAAACTATGAAAAACAGGTAAAAGAAGCAGAAAAAAAACTAAATAAGAGGAAAAAGCAGCAATACAATAAGTGGAAGAAGCAGAAAAACAATACAATTAAGTAAACAGCAAAACAATAAAGCAAATAAGTGGAAAAAGCAGCAAAAAAAACCCAAAAGAAGTCAAAGAATCAGCAAAACAATGAATACAAATGCAGGACCAGTAATATAATGTAGGTGGAGCTAAAGAATTAGGGGGAAACCAAAGGTGGCTCTGGTCCCTCCTGATGGGGGCCATGGAGGTCACCTGGGGGGAGGGGGGTGTAATGTGTGGTTTAAAAAAATAACAGCAGCATCTCTGCTGAGTCATGGTTTCTACAGGGAATTTTCAGTGTGTGGGATTCGGCCACCAGGGGGCGACACACTTTGAAAAATTGGCCTGATTAGAAGTCTGTGAGAAGTTGAGCTGCTTTTCCTTTTGTTGTTAATTTCTTTAGTAACTTTATACAGAATACTGGATGTGCTCCCACAGTTCCTTTTTTCATGGGGAGCCTCTCAAGGAAAATATAGTGAAAATTAATACAAAACATCCAGGACGAGTGAGGCTGGTGAGTGCTGAGCTCCTGCAGGAAGGGCTGGTTTGATCTGGTTTGGATTGGTTTGTTCTGGTTTGGACTGGTTTTATCTGGTCTGGTTTGGTTTGGTCTGGTTTGTTCTGGTTTGGTCTGGCTTATTCTGGTTTGGTCTTCTTGGACTGTACGAGTTGATCTTTCTGTTTTTGGAGTCGTTTATGAGTCACCAGCAAGCGCAAAAGTTCCCAATTCAATTAGTGAAGAACCACTTCTACTAAGTCTTTATTTTTATATTATATATATCATATTTATTTCTCTTTATTACTTCTGCTAAAGTCTTTATCTGTTGAGCTGATTAAGAGCAAAGTGCTGCACTGCCGGAATGAGAGGAAGGAAAACACAAAAAGGGATTTAAACACTGGGAGGACAGTTAGAGGAGCTGGAGCCAGAACATCTGGAGTTAGAACATCTGGAGCCAGAACCTGGAGGCTCAGCCCCCTTCGCTCTGCCCCCCCCCCCCCCCCAGCAGGTGCCTGGTGGACGTGTGCCCGGCCGGCGGCGAGCAGCTGGCTCCGCCCCCCGCCTCCCAGCGCGCCACGCCCTCGTCCACCGAGGTCGAGCCGGCGTCCGAGAGGAGGGACCTGGAGAGCCCGGTCACCCAGCAGCCCGAGCAGGTGAGAGGGTCAGGGGCCCCGAGACCCGAACCAGGACCCCCAAAAACCTGTAGCAGGACCCACAAAAAACCTGCAGCAGGACTCACAAAAACCTGCAGCAGGACCCACAAAAAACCTGAACCAGGGTCTTCTCTCACTCTGACCTTTGACCCTTCTCTTATACTGACCTTTGACCTTCTCTCACTCTGGCCTTTG